GACTGATGTGCGGGGCCCCATACGCCCGCGACCTGTCGCGGGTGGAGGGTAGCCCCCCAGCCGTACCCTGAGGCGTCGGTTGTGATAAGTACCGACGGGCGGGGCGGGCGGAAAACACGGCCCTGCGTTATATTGGCCTCGACTAGCCACCAACGAAGGTGGGGGACTAGCCAAGACGTAGTGGGCACCGGATGGTCGATCGGGTGCCAGCGGGGTCTGTAGAAAGACAGCAGGTGAAGTTGAATTGGCCTCATCCTCAGCCTGCAAAAATCCACCAAGTCCACCAGACTGGCCATAAGGCCCAACAGCCTGAGCCAGGCTCGGGCCGGAGCCACTACCGTCGGGAGGAAGAGGGACACGCACTGCCGAAGGTTCAGCAGGCGGTCCTCCGATGGCCGGGCCAGTCCCCTGCGAAGATCGAGGGATGCACCCAGAAAGGTGGGAACCTGAGAGGGGACTGGATGGGATTTCTTGGTGTTGATGAGAAATCCCAGGTCGGAAGCAAGTTGCCACGTTAGTTGGAGCGCCGCTTCCGTCTCCCCTCGAGAACGGCCCACTACTAGCCAATCGTCGAGGTACATGAATATCATGACCCCTCGACGCCGCAGTGCCGCCCCGATCGTCTTCACGATCCGGGTGAACACCCGCGGAGAAGTGGATAGCCCGAACGGGAGCACCACAAATTCGTACAGTGTATTTTTGTATTGGAAACGTAGGAATTTGCGATGTTCCGGCCTGATCGGTACGTGAAAGTACGCGTCTTTCAAGTCTATACTGGCCGCCCACGCTGGTGTCATGATCGATGCAAGAATGGTCCGTAACGTTTCCATGCGGAAACGTTTCGGACGTATGAACTTGTTGAGGGGTTTTAAGTTCAGTATTGGACGCCACACGCCGGTTTCCTTCTTGGGGGCCAAGAAGAAGGTTGACATGAAACCTGCCCGGGTCCCCCCTTGGGGGACAACACGAACCGCTCTCTTCAGAAGGAGGGCGTCGATCTCCTCCTCGAGGGAGCGGCGTTTTGCTGTGTCGGGCGGTACGGGCGTTGTCCGAATTAGCATGTCCGACGGGGGGGTCCTCGTAAACTCGAGCGCGTAACCGCTGCTGATTGTTTCGAGGACCCACTGGTCGGAAGTCACCTGCACCCAGGACCCCACGAACTCCTGAAGGCGGCCTCCCACGGGTCCAGCGGTGGGAGGCCGCCTGGAGACGCATAAGTCACTTGCGCCACGCCCCGGTGTACCGGGGAGTGGGCGCACGGAAACCGCGTCCCGACTGGGGACGCTGTTGTCCGATATGTGGTTGTGAATAGCGCGGGCCGACCGCCTTATCGGCGCGCCCACGAAATCCACCACGGGCCGCTCTGACCGGGGGGCGGCGCCGGGGAATGACAAAAGATGGCTGTTTCTTCTTGTCCGCGGTTTTCGGCTCGACCGGTTTCTTGAGATTTATTTTCTCCGTGGCCTTGAGGCGCTTTGCTTCGGCCTCCATGGCCTCCTGGAACTTACCAGAAAATAAGTCCGGGCCTGAGAGCGGGAGATCGTCGAGACGCTTTCGTGCTCCCGGTGAAGGGAGGAAAAGTGCATCTAGCACATTGGCGCGGCGTGACGATGTTGCTAAGGTCGACACTCTAGCAAACTGGTCGAGAGTGGAGCACAGGCCGCGATCGAGGCAATGGAGAGCAGCCACCATCATGTCGGCTGGTATCACCGAATCTTCTTCATATCCCAGTGCCAGGTACTCTGACAGGAGAAGAAGAAAGGACGTCGCACGCATACCCATGCGTGCCGCCGAGTCCATTCTGCGGGTGACATCTTCCAGCTTTCCACGGGTCTTGTCTGTAAAAGGAACCTTGGATGAAGCTGTCCCTCGGTCAGCGGCGAGCTTGTCAATGGCCGAGTCCGGCAGGACCGGAGTTGAGAAATATTTCTCAAAATCTCCTGGGGGGAAATGATAATATGAGTCTACGCGTTTAGCGTAGGCACTCCAAGTCTTTGCGTGCATTATACCGTCGATGTGGTCAACGCACACGCGGTCCAAGGGCATTGTGGGAAAAGCCCGGACCGGTTCTGCCGTCGGTCCCGATCGCTTCTTGAACGACTGACGCTCAGGAGGAGGAGGAGGTTCGGTACCAGCAGGAAGATTTAGAACTCTGATCATATCCCGTTGGACCAAGCGGAGTTCGGTCTCAGCCACCGATAGGCGTTGCATGGTGCGGGTCAGTTCGCTCTCGTCCGCCGAATTGTCAGAGTCCGGGGGGCGAGTTGCCACCGGGGAATGGGAACCAGGCCCCGGGGGCGAAGCAGCGCCGTCACGGCGTCCCGGTATCGAGCCCCGCTCAGAGTCCAGTGACGCCGATGGGTGTAAACTAATACCGGGCGGGGACGCCGGTGCACGGCCCTCCGTGCACGGCATTGTCCGCTGGTCTGTAGTCACCCCACCACGGCCGTGATGACCGGCGTGTGGGGGCTGTAATTCTGGAGGGGACTCCGGCGCACGGCTAACCGTGTGCGGTATGTCCCTTTGGCCCGGAGTCAGCCAACTGTGACCGTAATCTCCCTGTCGGCCCGACAATGAGGCCGCGAGGGAGTGAAAGGCCTCCAAAAAATCATCGCGTGAGATCGGGTCGCCACCCTTGTGGCGTTTCCCACGGTGCGATCGGCCGGATGACTCGCTGGAACTCGTCGAAGAACGGCGGGAACGGCGGCTCTTTTTTGATTTTTTCTTCTTTGAGGAGCGACTCCGAGTAGTTGCCGAGGATTGCGGGGACACGGGGATGCCCGAACAACGAATGAAATCCGATGTGGAGGCAGGGCCCTCCGAGCGTAGCGTTAAATCTCTGGGGGAATCCCAGGGATTCGGTTCTACGCTATCAATAGCCCGGGCGGCCGACAGCGCCCCCACGCCGGTAACATAGGCGGGTGCTGTACGGTCAATCAACCGGCCATATAACAGCCCATCCCCAGGCATCGTGGTAATCACGGGGCTGGGTGGGCCTGGGTGCACTGAGCCATGGAGGAGTACTTCCTCCGGCTGCGTGTGCCCCGTAGACGGGCCAGGGACAGGCACGGTGCGCCCCGTAGCGGGGCCACCTTTTGCCGTACGTCCCTTTTTGGGTATTGCCCCGGCGTTAGACAATTTCTTTGTCTTGCCGGTGCGTTTCCCCTTCAGTTGGGCGGACCCGCGAACATTGACCGAAGACGGTGGGGTTGTACGGCCCCCCGCTTGGTCAACGGGTCCGTCAGCTCCGACAGCCGGCAGTGGCTGAAGGGGCCGACTAGGGGACTGCTGCCGCGGTGACGTACCATCACCGGTGCAGTCCCCCGAGAACTCGGGCTTGTCTGGTGGGATGTACGTCCCTCCATTATCGACACACCCGGTCCTCCCCAACTTCCTATTACTCATTTCTTTCACTTTCACTCAAATCCTTCACTAGAACAACTCTACAATACTTCACTAGAACAACTCTACAATACTTTCTTTTCGAAATAGCTTTCTCTAAGCAAAAGAGGTACCAATAAAATAGCGAAAATCAGGTCGTTGAAATTTCACGTGTACCTCGTCCTGCGGCTAAGAGAAAAAGAGGACGCTAACGTGGTGCGCATGTCACAGGGCGTCGTGGGTAGGACACGTGAGGGCGCTATTGTATGTAAAACTCTTAGCAAATTGCCTGCCGGCATAGGGAACAATGCATATGTAGTATTCGCTCTACAGGTAAGTAGAGTGATGTAGACTTGGATGAAATTCGGCCCTGAAAGCGCTCCATTTTGCAATGGAGTGTAGGCATCGTTTTTCAAAATGGCGATGGGATTCAGGACTACTCTAAGGGATGATCATCTTCAGATGGAAATTTCTCCCAAAAGTCATTGAATTACCCCCCGAAAATTAAAAAGAAAATCAAAGATGACAAAATAAGCTTTAATTTGATGTGTGCCTCAAACACAGTGGCGTAGCCATGGGGGGGGGGGGGGAGGAGGGGCGTGGGGGACGACAGCCCCCCATGAAACCTTGTCGCCCCCAGTCGCCCCCCACTGAGATTTTGAGTTTCTAAAAAAATTATCATTGATCTACATGACGCCCCCACATGAAATGTTCCAGCCCCCCCAGCGCCCCCCCCCCTCACTGCTTGTATTTCTGTGAAATTTGGATGAAATTCGGCCCTGAAAGCGCTCCATTTTGCAATGGAGTGTAGGCATCGTTTTTCAAAATGGCGATGGGATTCAGGACTACTCTAAGGGATGATCATCTTCAGATGGAAATTTCTCCCAAAAGTCATTGAATTACCCCCCGAAAATTAAAAAGAAAATCAAAGATGACAAAATAAGCTTTAATTTGATGTGTGCCTCAAACACAGTGGCGTAGCCATGGGGGGGGGGGGGGGAGGGGCGTGGGGGACGACAGCCCCCCATGAAACCTTGTCGCCCCCAGTCGCCCCCCACTGAGATTTTGAGTTTCTAAAAAAATTATCATTGATCTACATGACGCCCCCACATGAAATGTTCCAGCCCCCCCAGCGCCCCCCCCCCCCTCACTGAAAAATTCCTGGCTACGCCACTGCTCAAACACCTGAGAGAGTTGTGAGTATTTTTCCTGAATTTCTGAAGTGGGGGAATTATTCATTGGGGTCTATGGCAGTTTATTACTGTTCTACAACTCTATGGGCCTTATTCTCAAATCGGCCATATTGGATTGAGAGTGAGGTGAAATCTTGATTTCTGGAACTTGTGTAGAGAAATGAAGGCAAGTTAATTGCTAATTAATTCCAGTCTGCTTCAATGAATAATTTCAAATTTGTAATTAAACGTTCCTAATGTTTAAAGCCAGATTTAAAAAAAAAGGCAGTACAATAAGGCTGCTCTGCATAAATAGTCTGGGTTCCATCCCATTCAACAGTTAACAATTAATGAAATACATTCAGGGAACATAAATATGGCCAACTCGTGAATAAGGCCCATTGTCCATGGTATTGCTATCCATCAAACACTGATATGAGAACTTACCAACTGATGAACTTCCTAAGCTGGTGCTTATGTGTTCCATCATACTCTGATACTTTGCAGGAAACTCTTGCAATTTCATCAACTTCATGCATAATCTTTTCAAGTTATATGGTGAAAACTCTTCTTCTCCAAGAGTTCCTTCTGGTCCATACATGTCCTCATCTTGAGATTTTTCTCTTTCCAATTTGTCTTTCCGATTCACTCCTGATTCACTCCTGTGACACTTGATTAAATTCATCAGCTGGTAGTATGAGACTAGCTTTTGTAATGTAGCACTACTTGGCGAAAAAGTGTTCACTGACAGACTAGCCTCATTTGGGGTACAATTATCGTCCTTCAAATTTGGGCCAGGTTCCTGATCACTCCACCACTGGGTCAAACCCTCCAAATTACTTACGTTTTGTTCCACCTGTCGAAACACAAATAAAAAAGACAACGGAAAAACACCATTACCAATTATGGATTACAGTATTTGGAAAAGAGATTTTGTCACAAAGCATGTATTTTGATAAAATCCTTTATACTTGGCAAACACAGGTCTGCTGCTTCTCTCTTGGTTTAAAGCTACAGTCCATCATTTGCAGCTATCCAAAAAGTAACTGACTTAATTACTGTTGAAAGACATACCTGGTTGAAAGATAGTAAGGGGACTAAACTCCCTGTGAAATTATTCTTTCTGGCAAGCTGTCATTTTGAAGAAATCAACGAAAGAAGGCCTTTCCAGGGTCTAACGACGGAAATTTCTGTTAATAGTTCGTTTTTTTTATTCGCCAAAGCGCGCACAAGCATTGGCACGACGCACACACAGTTGTTATAATTCGTCGGATCGGTGCGCAACATCGCGTAGCTGCAATTGCCTCGGTGAGAATGTGTCTCAGAAGCTGAATTCAGGCCCTATTCAAAACATGATTCAGCAACTTTTGATTTGAAATCGAGATCCTAGAATGCTGTTTTTTTCGAAATATACATCTTAAGCTGAGCTGCAACTTCATCAGGTTAGTTGTTCAGCACCCTTCTTTAGATTTTGAGCACGTTTGTTGCTTCAAACGAACAAAATTCCCCAATTACAAATGAATGACTGTACCCTTACATTACTTTATTTTACAAGTTACTCTATCCTGTGTAGTTAATAATGCTGTCTCCGACAGCTTTCATAATTGTTGGTATATTTGCTATCTTTTTAAACTCAATCTGCTCCCCTCTGTGGCAATTAAAAATACTTAAAAACTTGGAGTATTGCAAAAGGTGGGATCCTGAGCAGGATCCTAGCACTAAGTATTCATAGATTGGACCAATCACAGCCAAGAGTTTCGACCAACCACAGCCAAAAGTTTTGACCAATCACAGCCAAGAGTTTTGACCAATCAGACGAAAGATTGAAGCACTAACGATATGCAGTGGAACATTGCATGCACATGTACTGTGTGGGTCATTCTGTCACAGCATTTTGAGCAAGCTGGATCAATTTGTCTGAAACAGCAGGAGTGTTTTTAGTGGTTCAGTTTCTGGATTTGTGGAATTATAACCTTTGATTTCTCCAATTCCCAAGTCCAAATGTAGATTCAGTGCTGACTTTTAATTCCCCATGAGAGGTTTGCAATATTGACTGGGAATTTACCTCGGGAAATTTTCAGTGCTGACTTGGGATTCCCTGTAATATGCAATACTGACTGGGAATTTCCTATGGGGAATGTCCATTGTTGAGTGGGGATTTCTTTGGGGGATATCAATATGTGGATGGTAATTTTCAAAATGTATTAGGCCTAATCAATGTTAATTGGGAAAATTCATCTTGAAATTTACCAATACTCAATTGAGTTTTGTGGATGATATACGAACCTGACAACTCCTTGTTGATGGGTGTAAGAGAGGGTGCAAAGATTTAGAAAATTTTGAGACAAATCAATACTCTAAAACTTCAAAAAAAATTTTTATAAATGAAAAAAAATCCGATTTCAATTTCAAAATTTGAGTGTTTTTTTTTCTAAATGAAAAAAAAATCGCCAACCCTAATCCTAGCTAAAGACATGGCCAATGTCATCAACTGCATGTTCTCCTACTGTTTTTCAGCCAGTTTGTGGGCACTTAACTTTCTGTCAATAACCCCAGTGCCTGCTGCAGACCCAGCTTCAGTGCCAGTGATGGACCCATCTAGACTATTAGTCTCAGAAATACATACGATGCTTAGGAAATGATCCCAGTAGAGTCAGCCTCCATTATAAATGGGACAAGTTAATGTTGCTTCAGGGCCAATATATGTGGAAATCAATGCCCATACTGTGTGTACAAGCTGCCATTTTCATCATGCTCTGACAATTCATTCCATGAGGAGTTTGGCAGTGATCAAGAGCTCAATTCTACAGTGGAACCTGATAATAATCTGAAGGCTTATCGTTTGGACTTCCCTGCAGCTTCAAAGACTTACAGGAATTCCATCTCCGGTCTACTACTCAACGCTCGAAGTATCTGTAGTAAGCAACAGGACATGCAGTCATTTTCGAGCTTCATCCTGTGGACATTGTCTGCAACACAGAGACATGGCAGTCGGCAAATAATGTCCTAAGCATACCTGGATATTCCACTATCTGACATGACAGGAATAACCGAGGTGGTGGCATCATGGCAATAGTGAAGGATTCGTTGCTTCCGGCTCATCTCGACCACCTTAGCCCCACTGACATCGAGGTAACTATCTTATCACTGACCCTAAAACACTCAAAATGGCTTGTTGGAATTGTGTACCGTCCCCCAAACTCAGATATAACATTTTTTGATAAACTACAAGATGTCTGTGACAACCTCCAATCAGATCCCCCTCCTGGAAAAGCAACCAAAAAAAAAAAAAAAAAAGAACAAAAGAAAAGAAGAAAAAGAGGGGCGGAGTGATATTGTTGTTTATTTAATGGGTTAAGGGAGGGGGGGGGGGGGGGCAATGTCCCTGCCCAACCTCAAAAAAATAATCAATCGGGAAAATGTTGGAAAATATAGGGATTTTTTGAGGAAAATGTGCTTTACCCCCCTCTAGAAAAAAATTCTGGTGACGCTCATGTTCAGGGATCGACATGGACCTGGATAAAGCCCTTTCTAATAGGTCGTCAACAACGAGTCCCGTAACAGGGATGCTTCTCTGAGTGGGCACCAGTTATTTAAGGTGTCCCACAGGACAGTGTCCTTGGCCACCTCCTGTTTAATCTATTTATTCATGATATAAATCATGACTTTTCCACAAATTGCGCACCCTTTGCAGATGATGCACTCCTCTATCAGCCAATCCACTCACCCCAAGATGAACTCGCCCTCCAGTCGGACCTGACTGCACTTGAACAATGGAGCAATCTCAATGGTATGCAGCTGAATATCAAGAAAACCAAGGTCATGCACATATCCAGATCCCGGAAACCAGCAGTTCTTCCAAGTTACATTCTTCATGGTCAATCGCTCAGTGTTACACCTACATTCAAATACCGGTATCTTGGGGTTATCATCAACGACTCAATTAACTGGAATGATCACGTTGATGCCACTGTCTTCAATTGCGGGTGGTACTTTGACCAAGGCCTTGACATCCCTCTATCGTTCACTTGTCTTGCCCATACTACTGGTAGAATATGGGTTGCCAGCTTGGTTCCCATACACAGCATCCAATGCAACCAAACTTAATTATAATAATATAATAATAATTTATTCATTTATAAAGCGCAAATTCCAATATGATTTTGTTCAAATACGCTGTACAGTAAAAATATTAATTAAGATAAGAAATGATTTATTAATGGCTATGGATAGACAACAGGTTTCTTTGTTAGTTTTGCTTGATTTGAGTATAATAATTTGAGAGAGTGCAGAGAAGAGCAGGTAGGATGTGTATCAAATAGCCCAAAGATGCAATGTCATATGAAGACAGATTACATGCTTTGAATTGGATGACTTTAGATGCTTGTAGACAAAACCACATAGTTTCCTGTACAGTCAAGGTCCTTTTTAACTTAGTTGAATGCCAATCAGTGAAGGCCAACCCAAATTCAACGACTCCAGCGCGTACAAAATCGTGCAGCAAAACTAATCTTCAAGGCCAAAAAACGCGATCACGTCACTCCCTTGTTGAAACACCTACACTGGCTACCCATCAAGCAACGTATTGTATTTAAAATCCTGACTCATGTTTACAAGTGTCTTCACAACAAAGCTCCGACCCATCTCGACTCTCTCATCATGCCGCATCACTCTGCAAGACCTGGCCTCCGCTCCAGTCAGGACATGACCCTGCTCCATGTGCCCAGAACATCTACCGTAGCTGGTGACAATGCATTCCAGGCACATGCACCTCGGCTCTGGAATGATCTCCCGCAGCACATCCGACTGTGTCCTTCCTTGGATGTCTTTCAAAAGACCCTTAAGACATATTTATTTGATTGAGATTCATGTTTTCATAATTTTCTTGTTAATGTTCAGCATATTTTGTGTGTGTGTGATTTATTTATTGTTCAGCGCTAGTTATGTGAAACTTCTTTGAGTAAGAGCGCTATATAAATGACTTTGTTGTATTGTATTGTATTGTATTGTAGTAGATAAAAAATGGTCACTAGGATTGTCTCACATTTAATCACCACTGTGCTAGAACTCAAACCCTGAAAAACACACCTAGTCATGTCTTCCCCCGGATCTGGAGTACATGTAGTTTGCCATCGTATATAAGGGACTCTCTATTAATTGATTCATTTACACAGTTTAACACCGGATAATCTGCTCATTAGTATGAGTGTTAAAACCTTGAGCTGGAAATATACCCTCCCTTCAATGTTTTTATTTATTTTTTTATCTCTTTTAATCCTTTTATAGTAATTACATGTTTACATTTTTTTCAACTGTAAACTGCAATCATTCTTTTATTTTATTTTTATTTTCTCTTTCGCGGTTATGTTTATTTATTTATGTTTGAAATTAACTTGTTTAACTGTTCTACTTTCCGGTTGTTTATCATTTATTTTTTACATGTATTCATTTATTTTGTTTTTGCTCCTGTTGTTGCATTTCTTGTTATTGGATGGATTTTTTAATGGAGTTTTTCTCGCAGGTAAACTGCCATAAGTATGTCATTTTTTCTTTTCTCTACCAGGTTTACATTCGCTTATTTATTGGCTTTTCTGCAATGTGCAGAAAAAGCTTTTTTTTTCTGATTTTTTTTTTAGGTGTTGGGCCATGAGCCCAACACCTATTGTTATTCTATGAATTTACTATTCTTCTTCTTCTTCTTCTTATTATTATTCTCCAAGACAACTTCTTCTCCAGAACTGTTTGTCAAAATGAAAGCATATAGGCCTATGAACTTCAATTGTCAATACATGAATGCACAACCCACTGAAGATGTGCTTTTTTGCACAGAATTGCCTGTTGACAGGGGAAGGGGCT